GACAATGATGGTTTTGCAACTCTTGAAAACATCTCTTACACAGAAATCAAGGGTGTGACCACATAAACAGTGAAGGGGATGCAACTGACCCTAATATTCAGATAAGGGAAAAATCATTTCAATGGTTGATTCTTTAATTATCATATTTGATCCTCCCTGACCTATGTGGTTGCATACTAACTAAAGGGGATTTTCTGTAAAAGACACAAGGATCCACTTGTAATTTACATTCAAATATGAATTATAGGCTAATCTAAATAGATTTCATGAAAATATGCTTGAGGAAGCAAGTCAGTGTAACCAAGTTCTGAGCCGCATCTCTATAACGGTTAGTCGAGGACATGAAATGACATAATTTGCAAATCTAGGAAAACCTCAATTCTCAGCACATCTCACAATAAAATTTAAAAAACACATTTTCAGTCCATAAACATACTTCTCATTTCTACACCACAAACACCAAAAACATCTGTCCTTAAGAGTTTGATGGATTAATGCGAAAGAGAATCTTTGAAATAGTATGAAGTGTGTACAATATAAAGGATCAATTAAACGAATATAAATTCAAGGAGTTCTCTAGCATCAGAATTGAAAATGGGTGCATCACGTCCTCTCAGTTTTGTACAATCCTCCATACATCTCAGACGCAACAACTAGGCTATGAAACACACAGCAATATGCAAATAAGATTACAGCTACAGTTTTCTTTCAAGCATTTGTTCTTTCATTTTAATTAAAATATAAGGCCACATTTTGGACAAGTGGAATAAGCAAAAGTATTGTTAAATAACGTGTGTAATTAATCTGAGTGCGCTTTTTTACTTGATTTTGGATATGAAGCATATCACCATGAGAAAACATGCTTTTTTCTATAGTAGGTTAGTAGTGTGGCCATATTTAGAAAGCAGTTTTAAATATAAAAGGTAGGTTATGTGATGAGAAAGAATAAAAGCAAGCATGAAATAAAAACTTACAATATTTCCCTTTTGTTACTCGTTCCTCTCGTGTGTTTGACCATATATCCGTCCATATGCAACTTCAGTTTGTCTTACCGGCGAATGCCAAGCAGCTTAAAGGGAATGAGCCCGCCCTCTCAGCGCGAGAGTACTAGATGTTCTACCGGCAGAAGTTTTATTCTTAATAATCGTCAGCACGATACGCCTCTGCGAGACGGGGAAAATGAAATGAGACAAAAGGGGGAGGAGTAAACGCGGGGGGGGAGGGAAGTGTAGAGTAAAAATTAAGGGCAGGCCTTGGAAACTGTCCACAAAGTAACACAATGTTCCGGCTCTTCTGTAGCTCGCGCTGATGAGAACACAGTGTCCTAGTAGACACCATGACCCGTAACCCGTTGTGTGCTGACTGAACAGCTCAAGTTAGGAACAGCATGTGCAACCACACAGTCAGAGCACAGCGATATGCGGAAAGAACAACACGACTAAACGTGGAAGTTTAAAATGATAGAATGCATTGAAAAAAAAATCTTGTGGTAAAATTGACAGCTGAAAGAAACTTACGGTAGACGTTTGGATGTATAACCAATATAATAACACACAGGTGACACAACAGAAAACCACATGATGAATTCATTTTCATCACAATGATATCCGTTTATCATGCGTATATATACTGTATTACAACTGGTTACAGAATCATTACAAACTTTATTATTTCAATAAAATATGAACAAAATGTAAAGTCTCATGCTGGGACCTCTGGGAAAGTTATTTTACTGTACTTTTAACAACACTTTACTATAAATGTTACTGTTTTTTAAGTCCTATGTACATGGATTGTTTTGTTGAATGTAATATAGATTTTCACCATAAAACATATGCTAATAGTTTTTGCTTCCATACATTTTATATAGTATTTTACAGTAACATTGCATTTATTGTCTGTTAAATCAGTTTTTTTTATTGTAAGGTAACTTACAGTTAACAGGTTTTACTGTACCGTTTTTTTTTCAGTTAAAACCAAAACAAATTATTCTGTAAAGAAATGTTTTCTGTTTAAGATCATGCATTGTCTATTCTGTTAAGACATTTCTAATACTAGACATTTAAAGCTGAACAGCATCTTCAATAAATTAGTGTTTTAAAATCTTATTTGATTATTTACGTTTCATTTCGACACAGAATAATTCCATGTTATGATGATATGTTGAAATCAAATCCAGGCTTTCAAGTTAGCAGGCTTTGGCCTGCAGTTTTTCCAGGATTATCTAGGCATTAAAGTACTCAAGCAGGGAAGAAAGTAGAACAAAATGCTGCCTCATTTTGGTATCTTAGCAGCAGGAATCTGCAACAGAGCATATAATGTGAAACTGCTCAGTGTGGATGGCACAAGCAAACAAGTGGGGGGCATTCAAGGATAAGGATTCAGACCAATATGTCACTTCCAGCAAGGTCCAAGTGGGGACACTCCGAGTAAACTTGTTTGACCTTTTTCCTGTTTGTGTTTTCTGATCATATAATCTATCGGATAAAAATCACTCTGTTCAATTTTATTCTTAATCAATATTTAGTTGTTGATTTTCTTACGATTCTGACATGAAAATGAAATGTAGAAAAATAAAAACACTTGTGGCTATGTTTTTAATTTACAGACATCAGCTGTTAAAGAAATTATTATATAGACATTATTCTTTACTGAGGGCTTTGTGGTGATGACATTCAGAATATGATGGTTTTCTTCTATCAAAAGATGAACAGCCCATTAATCTAGGTCAGGGTCTCCAAACTCGGTCTCAGTTAAAACCAAAACAAATTATTCTGTAAAGAAATGTTTTCTGTTTAAGATCATGCATTGTCTATTCTGTTAAGACATTTCTAATACTAGACATTTAAAGCTGAACAGCATCTTCAATAAATTAGTGTTTTAAAATCTTATTTGATTATTTACGTTTTCTTCTATCAAAAGATGAACAGCCCATTAATCTAGGTCAGGGTCTCCAAACTCGGTCCTGGAGGGCCGGTGTCCTGCAGAGTTTAGCTCCAACTTGCCTCAACACACATGAAACTGTTATTTCAGAACAATTCACTCCAGTTGTTACTAACAAAACGAACAAATTAGTCATTAACAGTTATAGCTTTACTAACAACAGGGTTCTAAAGAACTTTAATATATGTACCTCATTAATGTACTGAAGTAATATTTTTAGGTTTAGATCTATAAAGATCTGTGGTTTGTGGTTTATTAACCACTGAATAGAAGTTTGACTCATCTGTCAATTTGAAAAAAAAGAAAAGAAAAAAAAAATGCATTTACAGAGCAATTAATGGATCATGACAACCTGTCACTTAATTCCTAGTATCTTTGCAGTATTCAGATTTACATTTTTAGCATATAGGTGAAATATTGGACGCTTACTATTTGCATACAATAAATCATGTTTAATATGTGAGATTTAAATGAGCTACTAAACAATTTGTGGGCAAACATTCTCAAAAAGGGTGCATGGAAAATAGTATGCTGTAATATCAGAAACCTCCACAATTGAATAATGTGGTAGTATGTCCAAAATATGTATACAGTTTCTACATAGCCTACACAAAGGTATAGGTATATGCACTTACATGCACTTTTCCATCATCCGCAGGGCAGTTTTAAAAGAAATATCATGCTTTAAAATAAACTTATATAAAATGTCATAGTAAGATTATTTAGATTAGATCTAATTACTAGATTATTTCTCAAAACACAGTGATTCACCAAACATTAACAGATGCATATAAAGGATATGAATAATCTGTTTTGTAAATGCAAAACACTCAATTGTTGCACTGTTTTTTTCACACATAATTCCTATTTTGTCATATAATCTACAAATTGCTGACAGTCCATACAAGGTTCTACATGTATTTTCATCTTCCAGCAGTAGAAACATAAGAAGCATTTATGGTCACAGCCTAATGGTATCCAAATGTTACATATTTTCAGATAGAACATGAGGATTGTGGATGGAAACGATTGAAAGGAATAGCATGCAATAAGGAGTGATTATAGGAGTATCACCTTGTCGCCAAATAATATCGATTTTTTTTTTGGTTACAGTCAAGAGAATAATCCTGCTCGTTTTTCCACTGGTTTCTCAGTTCAGTAGGTCCGCGCGTCAAGAACTAAATGTTCTAGCTCACAGTGGCACGTGTGGCAGAGACTGTTGACTGACTCATCGGCACAACGGAGGTAAGAATTGGTACTGAACTTAACAAACATGGTCTCGCGCTCACGCGTCGTCTGTTTTTAGCCTGCAGCTTAAGTACATTTAATACAAACGTCTGGGAAGTGGAATATATGGAAGCCTGTTTCCGCCACTAAATAAAAAAATATAATTCTGTAAGTCATAATAATGAGAAACTTTCTCAAAATTATGACTTAGTATCTCGTTATAATGAGTAAAAATATATATATATTTGTATTTTATTCCATTTTTTTATTTCCAAAACAATGTGATGATTTTGATCATATACATTGTACACATAAAATATTACAGAGAAATATAAAAATAAGTATAGCCTACATACCTACAGTATATATTCTAAAACAAGTACTGAACATATGAATATAAATATATAATTAATTTGTTCATGTTAACAACTAATGAAAACAATGTTGAGTATTCTCCGAAGTAGTTCATTATAAGGTATAAAGAACGAATAGGTAAGGTGTGTTATTTATATGTTATCTATAACTGACACTGTGATGTGAACTATTAAAACATTTGCAGCCTTCAAATATCGTTGTCTCAGGTGTGTGATGGCTGTTTCTGAGCAGAAATGTAGCACTTCGATATTGTTAGGCCTAAAAGAGATTTTCTTTCGACGTCCGTGTTCTTGACGATAACCGGAAGTGCTTTACATTTAGATTTGCTCGCGAGGCACCGCGGTAAGAAAATGTTAAGAGATAGAGGAAATGTTTCTGATCCAAGCTGCCTGATGATGGCAGTAGTGCACTGTTAAGTGCGGTTGCCAGTAAAAGAAAGAAGAAGAAGAAGAAGAAGAAGAAGAAGAAGAAGAAGAGGCACCAGCATCACAGTGTTCAGTCGCAGTGGTGAGTTTTCGATTTTGCTAGCGCAAATAAAGCAGATTTACCGGTAAGAAAAATGAAACCTCCGTTATTTAATAACTGTTTAAGGTGCACGTAAATTATAAAGTAGTCGAATTTTCCCATTTAAATCACTTTGATATGTCTGTTCTTGCTCGGTTGAAGTGTGTAGTCCTGTGAACGTTCAAGCTAAGTTAGCCTGTTAGCTTGGTACATACGTTTAGTGTGTAACAAATCCATTCGTATTACGTTTAATTAGACTTTGATTATTAAAACATTGTTGTTCCATAAATAATTTTACTGTCGCTTGTATGTTTGTAGGTTACCTATAAAGACGCTTTTAGTGAGTTTTATAAATCCTTTTTAGTAATCCAGTGTTTCATGCTGGTGTTTTCATTGGTTCCAAAATCAGTTTTCAACCTCTTTAGTGACGATTTTGATCGTTACATATTGCATCTTTTAAACGTAACACAACTGACACGTTAGGCTTCTATCATCCAGTTTAATTGCATATTCAAAGTCTCTTTGCTTATGTTTAATTTCTTGCAGCATTTTAGCTGTGCAGCTGAGTTTGGGGTTGGTGAAGATATGGGAGGTAAGTCTTTATTACTCTCTTCTAACATCCACTCCAGCTATGATCCATTTTAGTCTGCTAGAAGAGGTGGGATAGACATATGGCACCTAAAAATACAGCATGATGTTGAAACTAAACTTTTTTTTTTTTCTTCTTCTATAGACCCTTCCCTAAGCCGGGACTGCCCACTGGATTGTAAGGTATATGTTGGCAATTTGGGCAACAGTGGTAACAAAACTGAGTTGGAGAGAGCATTTGGCTATTATGGTCCCCTGAGGAGCGTGTGGGTGGCAAGAAATCCTCCCGGCTTTGCTTTTGTGGAGTTTGAGGACCCCAGAGATGCAACCGATGCTGTGAGGGAGCTTGACGGAAGGTAAGAACATCTATGTAAATTTAGTCCTCTGAAACAGCCATTGTCCTGCAGATTAGATTATTCTGGTTAAGCAAAGGATTTCAGAATTGAATCTTGTGTGTTTGAAGGAAACTATTCAAATGTACATAGTTGTTCCAGGGTTATTATTGTAAGCTAAGACTATAAAAATAATTTTAATTACTTGAGATATTAGTGAAGTGAAAAAAGTTAAAGTGACATGTAGCCAAGTATGATATCCTAGCAGTGAGTTGTGAACACACACGGCTGCACGATAAATCGCATGCAAAATTTAATGCGCATCTTGTAAGTAAAGCCGGTTCTGTAATCAGCGGTAAATCTCCATCACGGGCAGCCATTTTTTGCTGTGACGCCCGGGGAGCAGTTGGGGGTTCGGTGCCTTGCTCAAGGGTGGAAGAGAGCGCTGGTCATTCACTCCCCCCACCTACAATCCCGAGACTTGAACCTGTGAGCTTTGGGTCACAAGTCCCACGCTCTAACCATTAGGCCATGAAGCTAGTTGCCAGGCAACATTTGATCCATTTTAGTGTCCTAGAAGAGATGATACAACATAGGCATACAACACTTAATACAGAGCAATGATAATATTGCTTGAAATTAAATAATTAAAACTAAATAAAAAAAATTAAATATACATTGGCTGCATTTACACTTGGCATTAACCACTTAAGCTCGGGTGCGTAAATTTGACATACTCAAATTCAAATGTTTACCCTACACACATACAATGGAGGAAATGAAAAAAATGGTTTCATTGTAAAGAAAACCATTTGAACTTCATAATGAGTGTAATTCTTTATAAATAACATTATATATTTTTCAAATATTACAATAAACACACAAAAACATAGGCGCTTTTGGATGTTTTAAAAAAAATATATATATTTTAAAATCTGTAATTCAGGTTCTATTAGGTCCAGCTCTTTACAATTTACTTTGTTTGATGCCATTAGATGCCAAAATGTACCAGAAAAAAAGAATCTTTCAAATACCAGCTTCTAAACAGGAGTTATTGCATTATGTGTGAAGTGAGTAAAATTGTCTTTTTTTTTGCATATACATGTGTCATTTTGAGTTTCCTTTGCAAAAACAGGCTTTATAAAACACTTTACCCCAATAATTCTATTTTACTATGTGCCATAAGCACTTTTCTTGATTATTGATTGAATTATTTTTCATTTTTATGTTTTTCTAAGTAGTAATATACAAAATGGCATAAGCGAATTGGACCAATTTCACATTTTGTGTTTTCTACAATCCAGTGTTATTCTTTCAGGATACAGAAGACATTATAAAATAAATCTGGTCTATCACAATGTAAAATAGAATCCACATCCTCCAGCTTTATATCATTCCATTTATGTGCATTCTGTATTGGTATACTGATTCAAAGCATCTTCTTACCTCATCAGATGAGCCATCCCTGTATCCAGCTACCTATTGCTCCCAACATCTTTGCATCCCTGGACCAGAGCTGAGCTAACCCGTTAGCCGCGGCTGCTATGACCTTCAGAGCGTGAAACAAATGAATGATCATTCACACAGCGCTGTAATGATTCCATGTATATTT